CGCCATTCACACAGATTGCATTTAAAACATATGAGACGCAGTGAAAAGGAATAAACCACCACAAATTCACGACGTGTTTTCTCAGTTTAAACTGTTTTAACTTTGCATGGCTTTCTATACATCTTGTGTGAGACGCGAGTGCAGCAGTCATATTTGTCCGTCAAAAAAAAATGCGCTGAATATGCATCTGTGTGAATGGCTTGGTTTCGGTTTAAACCTAATCAATCTTCTCCGCATTGAGCTTCTATATTTCTCTAATATTTTGAATGAATAACACAGCAGCGGCGCGTCTCGTGGGCTAGACTAACAAAACATTAAAATGCAACAACGTCACTTACATCATCATCACCGCATCTCGCGCACCACTGATGACGCTCCCTGACGCACTCCTAACATTTAAATGCAAATGTTTATTTTAAATTCGACTAATATTAATTTTTTTATTCACAATCTCCTCATCACAGGCAGGCACAGCACTCAATTCGGCATTTGTTTGTGTGTGCTGTCTGCATCACTCATAGCACGTGCCTATATCCTGCACTATATCGAATATTTTTTATATCGATATCGAAGGTGTACCGTCGATCAATATCGATACAGTTTTATCGCCCAGGCCTAGTGTGACGGCGCGCCTGAGTTCAGAATATTGTAGAATAGCTTTGATTAATTAGATAAGTAGCATGTGCTTTTGGGATTTACTCTAGTGAACGGATTCATTCAAATGACTCAAAGAGGGGAAATCCTAATAGTTATGAGTGAATTGATTCATGTAAAAATAATTGGTTCAAAAACAAGATATCACCTTCTTCAAATTTAATGTGCAACTAAATAAATGTAATATCTACATAATTTTAAATTTATAAAAAGGACTATATTAGACTGAATATTTTCATTTAAATGAGCAGAATCGAATAGTACCATCACTTATGAATGAACTGATTTATTCAAATAGTTCATGCAAATGATTTGGTCCAGAAACAAGATAACACCTTCTTCAAATTTAATATATGAATAAAAAAATTTAATATATAAATACGTTTGAATGAATGAATGAATGAATGAAATAAATTTTTGGTTGAAAAACAAAACAAAACCATTTAAATCAGCATAATTAAGTAGTACCATTATTAATGAATCAACTGAATCATTCAGATGGTTCACGTAAATGAATTGATCCAAAAACGGCCCTTTCAAATTTAATGTATAAATAAATTGTATATATATATATATGTATGTGTGTGTGTGTGTGTGTACAGTATATATATATATATATATA